GCATATGGGATTAATTGAAATAGAGTCCGGGCCGACCCCCAAACTCCACTTTTTGATGACATACAACTTTGTTGTAGTAAAAATTTTATCTTAACTTTATAATGGTATGAAAAAACAAGTAATATAGAAGAGGTTAGGTTAGGAAAAATAAAGGTTAACATAGGAAAAATAAAGGTTAGGTTAGGAAAACTAAAAGTTATGTGGAACACTTACGTTAGTAGAAGAGATGGGTCGGCATACGGGGATGGAGGCTGGTTCCGAGGCAGAGGGCAGATTACTGGCCCTCAGGTGAATCACCATTACTAGGTGAATCACCATCACTGTCACTTACAGTTGTCAGGGCTTCCCTGACAAATCCCTCAAAGTCATCTTCACTGTCACTATCACTGGCTTGGGCTGGCTGTGGTGGGTTGCGGGCGAAGAAATCTGTTATGCTTTGCTGACGGCTGGTGTTGATGTTGTCGTGATACACCTTGATGTAGGGCTGTATAGTCTGCAACAGCTGGGTAGTGAAGATTTCATACCTGTTTGCGTCAGGGTCGTCGGAAAGGAGGAGTTTGGCTCTCTCGATACACTCGATGGCACCCCTAACATTACTATGGGATAAGTGTTGTTCTTCTTGGGATGACGCACCACCTGCCTCTTCACTGACGTCGTCATCATCATCATCTACCATCTCGTCGGTAGTCATATCAGGATCCCTTATCACCTCCAGGATGTCGTCATTGGTGGTCTCGGAGAAGCCTGGAATTGTAACAGTCTGCGCAGCTTCTCTGGCAAGGTCCACTGCTACTGCAACAGTCTGAACCTCACCAGTCACAGATTGACTCCTCCTCTCACCTGGTATTCCATGCAACACATGTCTCCATGCGTGACGAATTGTAGCAATAGACAGCTGATCCCATGACTCCACCAAGAAGTCCACAGCTTTCTTGATGTTAAATACTCTCCAGAATTGTTTGAACAGTATTTTTTGCTGTGCCAACTGTTGATCCTCATCTTCTTCGCTCTTGCTATCGGTGGTGGTGTCACTCAGGTTGTGCAACTCTTCCCTGGTGTTGGTGTAGTCGTTCAGGAGTTTGAATTTTTTCGTAGAGAATGCAGCTTTTACATTACAGATTAACTCTTGGTCCATGGGTTGTAATATAGACGTAGTGTTGGGAGGAAGGAAGACCACTTTTACGTTGGGGTGACGATCTAACAGTAGGGTCGAGTGTCCTGGTGCGTTGTCCAGCAGCAACAAAATCTTGAATGGCACATTCTGTCGCTCACAGAATTTCTTTACATCGGGAACAAAACAGTCATCAAACCAGGAGAGGGACAGTGTAGAGAACATCCACGCCTTACGTGCGGTCAGCCAGTGGACATTTAGCTTGGTCATGCCCATGGTTTTGTAGGCGTGCGGCTTGCGTGCTGTGTGGATCACCGATAACTTGAGCTTACTGGTACCGGAGGCATTGGTGGTAAACAGGACGGTGATGCGTTCCTTCTGCATCTTCCGGCCCCGAATCTTGCTGGCATTCTTTACAACAAAGGACTTGGAAGGTAGCTTTTTCCAGAAAAGACCAGATTCGTCCATGTTAAACACCTGACGCACCAAGTACCTCACAATTAATTTTTCTGTCTTGAGAAGCACCTGGTTGTGAAAATACTTGATCATAGAAGCACCTGTAGACTTTGTGATCTTCATGTGCTCCTTTATCTTGGCTGCATCCTTCTTTATTGTTCGAATCGTAGATTCATTCACACCATGCTGGCGCGCCAAATCAACCTGCCTTGTTCCTTTCTCCAACTCTTGGATGATGGTATACTTCACCTCGTAGCTTAAGGAATGTCGTGTCTTCTTTGGCTTAGTGCCGCTGGGTCCAGGTAAGGAAAGGTTTCTCTCTGGGGGTGGTGGTCCGGCGGAAGCCATTTTAGAGAACAATGGATGCACGTTTACACGGTCTGGCGTGGAGGGATGAAACTGGCGCGGCAAGGTCAAGGATCATCTTTCCTCCCTCCCTCCCCCCCCCGGGTGGACACGTCATAATACTTTAAGCCAATTACAGCTAGCAGCAGAGGGGGGTAGGGATGCATGGCCAATCACAGTCCGATACGTCATATGACGTCAGTGATAACGCAACAAAGACACACACTTGCCAACCTTACCGCGCGGCTTGCCCAAGCGGAGGGAGGAGGAAGGAGAAGCGAGGAGCACAGGCAGGCAGGCGGGTGGGGCGAATCTAAAAATAGCGTTGCGCCAGACACTGTCCGCGTAATGGGGTTCACGCACCGCGTAATGTGAGCACGTTAGGTTCTGGCAAGGCACCGAGTTAATGTGGAAACGCGGAATGTGGGACCGCGTAAGGTGAGGGTTGACTGTATAATATAAAATTGTAAAAATTGTAAAAAAGTGCATAAATATGCATAAATATGCATCTAAACCCCTGAAATAAAGAATATCATTAATACTTGTAATAAAAAAACAATAAATTAGTAAAAAAAAAAAAAAAAAATTTTTTTTTTTTTTAAATAATGTTCGTTGTAGGAGTTTCGTTCGTTATAGCATTCTCAATTTTATAGGTAAAACCGTTCGTTATAGGAATATTCGTACTAGGATCCGTTCGTTATAGCATACCCCACTGTACAATCTATTAATAATACGTGGAATATTAAAACACACGAGGAGACGAAACGGCTGCCAGCATTGTTTTTGTTAAAGCTTACAAAACCAGTGACTGATTGGTTCTACATATAAAACTGAAGAAAATAAGACCCTCATTGTAGCTGTAGTAAAATTAATGTAAAAAAAATTAATATGGTTGTTTGAAGTAATGTTATTTAATGTTAATAAATGGAACAATATAAGTAGCTAACCATTAATGGTAAAAAAAAAAGTGAGACTGCGCGTATGTAAGTGCGCACATGTGAAAACATATCGTCATTACTCCACATAAGAATATGAAAGCAACACTTATGTACTGCTCATATATATTGAATGGTTAAATATTGTACTCTGTATAGACAAGCAGAGAGAGAGCAGCCGAACTGCCGGATGTAAACAAACCTTAATTTCCCGTGGCATTGTTGTTGTTTTTTTTTACAGGGATTAGCCCACCCGGGCATAGGTCACTGACCCACATTGGGGCCTGAGGGGCAAAAACTTATACTCCTGTAATAATAATAATAATAATTCAGATAAGTTAAAAAAAATAAAAATAAATAAGCTGCCTATCTACCTATTGGGCAAACTAAAATCGTTCTGGACCACGGGAGTTTCTGGACCACAGAATCCCGGACTAGAGAGGTACAACCTGTATTTATACATCTTATCATGGTGAGGAAATCGAGTATTTTAGCTTTCATGTTTATTCAAGACATCTTCAGGTCCTGATACAATGTCAGGTCACCCAGCAATGGGTTACCTGATATTGTCTCAGAAGGTCAATAATATGAGACCACTAATCCCCCACCCTACCTCCACCTGACATTGTGTCAGGTCAGGTCAGTTACATGAGACCCACTAATCCCCCACAGCTCTATGGGAGTGGAAAACATCAGTCTTTGCTGTAACACACAGCTTCATTCACAACCATATCATATAGATTTTTAGGTTTTAAATATATTTACTTAACCAAACTTTAACCCCTAAGCCCCGGGTTAGAATGCTGGTGGCAGTACCCCCCTGAGTGGGGGTAAATCGAGAAAAATCAACTTTTCCGAAAATAGCTTTTAACCTTTTAAAATTATAAACAATAATTTTTTTTTAAGAAAAACTATATATTGACCCTCTAGAAACTTCCCTGGCCGTGCGGAGGGAGGGAAGAGGGAGCGGGGGGTGGAGATAAGGAGACTGTTGGTTTGACAGCTGATCCTCGTGGTCCTTACGCACTTAGCAGCTATTTTTAGCTCGCCTTTGTGTCCGAGATGGCCAATGATGCATATATTTACTGATCTTAATACAGTACTTATTTGCTATAAATAACTTATTTAGAATATTTTATTTGCATAATTTTTCATAAAAAAAGTGCTTAGCAACACTCACCAGTCAGTCACCAGTCTGCCTGGCTGACTTTGGTTTGGTAGGGCAAGTAATGCATAAAATAATAATAATTCCACAAATAAATACATTTATTACTAACTTACAATACAATTACACTACTTTTAGCAACATTACTTTGATACTACATGATAAAATACCTGTAAACATACAATGAAAATGAAACAAACAAAAGTAAGTAATTATGTTCAGGAAGCTTCCCTGTGGCTGAGTGTGTGGTGTGAGAGGCAAATAGTCACACTGGAACCTGATAACCTGCACTGGGTATTTAAAGAGTGGAGGGAATAAGCGCGCGTTCTGGAACGTCACCTGGGGCACATTGGTCAGACGTTCTGGAACGTCACCAGGGGCCTAAGGGTTAAGATACCGACAGTATTCTGGATTATTTTAGTTAACAAATGGAGTTTCTAACTTAATTAGAGCTGCTTTTACAGACTTTGGTAGTTTAGACTCTTGGAAAACTCCCCAGCACATAGAAACATTCTGAGGATGAGGGCTAGTGTTTGTCTGTGCAAGATGCATAGTTTAGACACTCGGAAAGTATTTCCAGTAACTGGAAATATTTTTGGAGATGGGGGATTTTTCCAGGTTTGAAAAGTCTCCTGGTTAGCCGAAAATCTCTCATCCCCAGAAGTGCTCTGCACCAATTGTTCCGGCTAACGGGGATGTCACTGTATACTCGTACTGTAGTTATATTGAATTCCATTAAATTAAGAGTATACTGTATATGTACAGTATACAGCTTTTAATTTGTTTGCAATATTGAATTAATAGTGAAACATTCATTGTCATATCATCATACATTTTCTTAAGTGCATGTAATCTCTTTTCTTTTCTTAAGAAAAGTTCACTGACATAGTCCCACACTTTAAGAACACAGTACGTTTAATATGTCTATATCATCTCAATATAGTGTTATAACATTGTCCAACAATTTTTTTTATTCTTTACATCTCAGGAGGGATGCAGCCAGTTGCTTCTGATCCGACAAAACGGTTACGAAACCTCAAGAAAAAGTTACGTGATATTGAGAAGCTCGAGAAGCAAATCGCAAGTGGTGACCTCAAGAATCCAGAACCTGAGCAACTAGAAAAGGTGAAAAAGAAAGAGGAGGTAATACAGCAAATTGAAAACTTAGAAGATGAAATTGTCGACTCCCAGTAGTGAACTTAAGTTTTAGAAATGGGATAAGATTAGAATTAAACTAAAAAGAAATACTGTTTCACAGAAGTTAGTGCAACTCTGCTAATGTGACTTGCAGGAAGTTTTCACTGATATGAAAATTTTAATAGAAATTGGAAAAGTACCTAATGTTAATAAAAAAATAAAGATATTTGTAAATCTCTAGCCCTTTAGCAATACACTTTTTGTCCCTAGACATCATTTTCTGGATCTTACCATTAAGATATGCATCTCTTGTCTTATAGGGAACTTCTGAGGGAGTTCTTGTGTTCCTAGACAGGGCCTTTCCTCTGCCAGCATGGGTTGTATTTATTAATCTGGTTGGATATCAATTGTCCCTTGCATCACCAACCTGAAATAAATGAAAATAGCACATTGCCCCTTCCCTCAGGAGGGCAATTCAACCACCACTCACTACACCAAAATGGCTTCTCTGTCATGTTAGTGAGTTAAAATCCAACCGAAGTTTTTTACCTTAATTCCTGGCTAACGTTGACAACAATTGGTTATAACTGCAAGGATTAAGGATCATCCCCATTTTTTTAAAACAGGCTTTTTATTGCAGAGTTTGGTAAATATTTGTCTTACATTTTGTATATTGTTCAGTACTCCAGGTCCATTTTTTTTTTTTTTTTTTTTTTTTTTATATAATAGAGTTGGGCCTTGTCCTAGGCAATATATTTTGAATCCTTTTGCCAATGGTCATAAACTTTAGTGATTGTTTTAGAATGAGCCACACAGGGATATGAAATTCACTATTACATTCACTATTTCCTCCCACAGAAAATTTGATGTACTGTACTTATGTTTGGTTTTCATGTTTTATCATCTATCATCTGGCACAGACAGGTTTGTTGTGGCATAATGAGTGAATTTTTAACAAGGGTGACATTCAAAATTCCCCGAATAAAACAATAAGTTAGTTCCAGGAGCCAGATTCACTAACGACTTATGGTCATTTTCTGCCTATAACTGAACTTAATGTACACTCACAACAAAAAGTATCGGTGCATACTGTAGTGTGAACAATTTGAAACCAGTGACAATAGGTATTGGGAAAGGCGAGTTGTTCCAGCTGTATGTTGGCAGCCCTGGTCAAGTGAAACAAACCGTTATAAATAAGGTTTGGAAGTGATAAATAGACAGTATGAAATATGAGGAGCTCCTTGTGAATATTGCCACATTAATTTATGCTACCAAATAAACCACTCAACCTGATCATCCTGAGGGGTGGTGCAGCGTGGACGGCCACTCCGAGACCTGTCGTCTGTAGCACCAGTTTCGAGGTATCGCCGAATCCATCGTGCAGCTGTGTTCCTGTAGACACCAACCCGCCGGTTAATATCTGTGACGTTGAACCCTTCATTATGAAGGGCAATAATAGCTCTTCGTGTTTCCTCTGAGGTTTCCATGTTGTCTGGCATGTGTAGATCTCTACTCCTTCATATTGCCTCTGATTTATACCCATGTTCACAGAGACCGAACCCTCGCTCATCATTCAGTCGACACAAAGCAACAATCCGAAAAGAGGAAACAAACACCCTGATTGTCAGCCATATGGCAACACCTAGTGGAGGGGTTATGAGGATACACTTACCAACCTTCCCAACATATCACAGTGTATACGTATCGTTTCGGAAGTTGTCGATCTCACCCTGCACCGATACTTTTTGGTGTGAGTGTACATCAAACGCTATGGTGGCCTCTGAGCACCCATAAGCCTCTGTTTTCTTTACTATACAACCCATAACAAAACACAGAGCTGCCAGACATACTTCAAGAGTCACTAGTGAAGAAAGAACTACAGGAAGTTCCCATTGAACGTTAATCCTTTAAACGATTCCACACTATAATGAAAGCAAGTTTTTACTACCCATTTGCCGATTAACGAAAGAATATTCTACTATTATGGAAGGTAAGTCACCTCCACCTTTCTGCTTTCTCACCACCAGCTCCATGATCACCACCATTACCTCCATTATCACCACCTAAATCATAATTTCACCTTCCTCCCTTCCTCCAACCCACTGCATCTCACCGACACTGTCTCTCTTACTCATTCTGTGACTCATTTAAGATAGTACAATATTGTACAATACTGTACAGTAATACCTCGGTTTATGCGGTTCTCGTTTACCAGTTTCCACATTTACGCGGTACCCCGCCAGAACCGGAATGCCCAATTTACGGGATGCATCTACTCATATAAGCAGGAAGCGGCGCGAGCAGGGTGCGCACAAGGTCGCCCAGTCATCAAAACATTACCGAGTTCTTCACCCGCCACCCACCACAGCTGGCCCAAGTCAGTGATAGTGAGGATATGGACTTATATGGACTTTGAGGGGTTTGACAAAGAGGCCCTGCAAGCCTCTGTGGTGGATAGTGACACAGTTGATACAAGTGATACAGGTGAGGGCCAATAATCTGCCCTCTGCCTCGGAACCAATCCCCCATCCCTGTGTGCCCAGCCATCTTTTCTACTAATGTAAGTGTTAAAAAACCTAATATTATTGATATTTCTCTTAATTATTAATTGTGTGTGCATACCATCATAAAATTAAGATGTTATTTTTACTACAACGTAGGTATTGTGTCTGAAAAAGTGAAGTTTGGGAGTCGGTCCACTCTCTATTTCAATTAATCCCATATGTTCTGTTATAACATTTATGCGTTTCTCGTTTTACGTGCTGCTCCGCGGGTTCAATTGACCGCGTAAATCGGGGTATTACTGTACATTGTTTATTTGTTTTTGTTTAATCCAGAATGCGATGCCTAGCTTATACCTAGGTATGTTAATGCCTAGCAATAACTCGCCAGGCCAACATACAGGTAATTAAGACATCAAATAATTACTTAATAAGTAATATTAGGAGGACACGTCGCTACCTGGCATTTAATTGCAATTCTCAAAACCCCCTCCTTCACCTCCCATCATACGTACTGCCACCGTCATTTTCTTGCCTGGCGAATCAGCTGTAAATACACACAAAGAAGGCTCCGCGAATTTGTGTTGTAATAGCTGAAATACTAAGTGCCACGAGGATTTTACATACAGTATTTATACATCTTAGCACAGTGAGGAAATAGTGACTTTTATTTTGTTTATGTCTCTCAATTATTGTGTTTGGGACAATTTCTTATACGATCTCTGGTCAGCATCATGGCGACCACAGTGCGTCTTTTATTATGAAGTCGCTAGATCTTTACTGACTAATATCCTCTGCTTTCAAGTCACTCAGTGAATGACGTTGCGGCATCCCGGGCTCGTCTTCACTGAAAGAAAATATATATATATATATATATATATATATATATATATATATATATATATATATATATATATATATATATATATATATATATATATATATATATATATATATATATATATATATATATATGTATATATATGTATATATATGTATATGTATATGTATATGTATATGTATATATATATGTATATACATATACATATACATTCTGCAGATATTAAATGCATAATAAGACGAACTAAGTTCATAAAATAAGATCATATGTCGGGCTCCTGATGATGATGATGATGATGGGATTTAGAAGTGGGGGGTGGAGGAGAAGGAAGAAGAGAAGGTATTGGGTGGAAGAGAAGTCACCCCATGGTGCCATTTCACCTATAAAATTAGCCTCTGGTTTAATTCAAGATTATTTTCTTTTAAATCAACGCTGCACTGCATATATATTGTCAATATATAAAATATATTTCAAAATGACCAATAATTTGCTTGGAAACACAGAAAAAGCGTTTAGTTGAAGAGAGTCTCTCAAGCAAGAAGTTACCTCCAGTGAAAAAAAACAGAGAGAGACTGACGCCTGTTTGCTGTGTAAAGAGGCTGATGCCGCCAGACAAATTAGTCACTTTACCTTTCAATTTTGTTCAACAATTGTTAAATGACTAAAAATTGAATATTAAACTTTTTAAAATTATTGAATAGTATAAACTTTGATATTTACAAAATAGTAATTCTAAGCCCTAGAACCGATTAATGTATTATGACTGATACTAAAGCTGGTTGCCTGTCAGTGCAAGTTTTAAACATGTTGAGGTCGGTTCGTAAGAAGTTCGTTGTTTAATTTTTTTCGTTAACCGACCTGAAGATCCTTATGGAAGGCAGTTCGTTAATCTAAAATTTACAACCAGTGTTCGCTAAACCTAGGTCACTGTATATATATATATATATATATATACATATATATATATATATATATGTATATGTATATGTATATGTATATGTATATGTATATGTATATGTATATATATATATATATATATATATATATATATATATATATATATATATATATATATATATATATACATATACATATATATACATATATATATACATATATATATACATATACATATACATATATATACATTCTGCACGTGAATATTAAATCGCATTAGGCCAAATCTAACTAAGTTCTATGTTACATCATATGTCGTGAAGGCTGTCCTGGGATGCGAGATGTCAAAACCCTTGGTTTGTTGGCAAGGGTGACATTTGGCAACTGGAGCACACATCACGGTTTGTAGTCAGTGCGCCTTCTGCAACTGTGAGGGGAAGACGACAGTAGGTTCCCCGCCTATGGCCGTGTTTTGTCTAGTTCAAGGTGCATTAATTCCGACATAGTGGCCATCAGAGATGTCCAGAGGGTTGGTCATAAGAGACTTATATTTCAGCAGTGATTGCATTGTACAAAGCGTAACCATGTACTGAGAGAAATATCGGCTCAGACTGTGTGGCATTACGAGTTGTTCAAAATCTTGTCAAACGTTTCCGTGGACCCTGGAGAGAGAGTTACCAGCTCCATTACCTAAGTCTGGTAGGCCTAAATTATTGTTTCCACGACACTTAAAGTTATTTCTATTAAGTTCGGGTCTGCGAACCTCATCACAGCACGTGAAGTGAAAGAGAGAAACCCCTCGGTTTTCTGAGAGTCACGCCTCAAGCATGCTAGGCTCAACAAGCCCCGAACGATGACCTGGGATTTAAGAGCCTTCAGGTTCATTAAACTGTTGACGGCGGACAGAAGGAAAATAGGAGTGACATTTGCAAGAAATATGAAGTGTGGGATTAGAGATGAGAAGTATATTATGGTCGGTTGAGGCTACATTGCAC